TATATATATAATAAAGATATATACTTTTGGAAAGTCTTGGATAAGGGGTTCAGATTGCAGAAAGGAGCGCCGCGGGACCCTGCTTTGTCACGCAAAAGGCTTTGCGATGATTTGTGGATTGTCACTTAGAGTTTCCGTTTTGGAACTTCTTCCGAACCAAAGACGGTTCGACATGTACACGCAACCGGGTAGTCATATATCCTCATACAACATAGTGCAAAAGATCCAACGATTAGGGGGTGTGGCCATGGTCACGACTTCTTGCGCGTCGGGATTCGGCATTTAATCGCGAACTACGGCTTGAGATGTTCCGGGTTGCGGGCTCCAAGGGCTTATAAGGGCACGGAGGGAGGCGTTGCGTCAAAGGCTTTTCGGTCTTCTGATTGCTTAATGTTTGGGGCTTTTGAACATGTAGGGCTTTTCGTGTCGTACAAATACAACAGAAACTTGGAAACGAGGAGGTTCCAACGCCTTGCAGCTGCAAGTGGCAGGGCCTATGAAGCTTGAAGAATTATCTCTAGAGTTTTAGGTACATTGTCTACTGTAGTTGTGAAAAGTTGCATGGGAACAACAAGGAAGCACAAGCCCACAAACTTCAATGNNCCCCCCCCCCCCCCCCTAAAAAAAAGCTGCCCCAACCTCAGCCCATATGTAGTCTTCCCAGTCGTGCTCAGTGGGTCTCTTGGCATTCTATGAAGGGCTACAACATAGATGCCCAAAACTATAGCGTTGATCCTATAAACTTAGATCCAAGTACCCTATAAACCCCCCAAAAGCCATCTAAAACCCAGAGCCGTGTAAACCGGAAAACCCTAAACCCTAAACCCTAAACCCTAAACCGTGACGGCCTGTGTGCCCCCAAGTCCTTCGGCACGCGGGGACAGGATCTTTCCAACAGCTGGGGGCGGCCCTTTCCGGCGATCGGGGTCTGAGAAGTGGCCAAGAAGGTTGAACCACTCCTTGGCTGCGACAGTTTTGATTTTTTTTTTTAAAAAAAAAAGATTTTTTCAAAAAATGAACCACTCCTTGGCTGCGACAGGGTTTTTGGATATTCATCGTTCAAACTCCCCAGTATCGACCCTTAACTTGACCAAAATTCAACTAAACAACTGCTATTGCTGAAACATACTGCGGACTCGGTATATGAGTATGTATGCCTGCGACTGCCACAAGATGATCATCGGAATGGTCACGGATTGAGAGCATCTTCACAACCTACGCGACGCACACAAAGTTTACTTTAATGCTCTCCACCAGGGTATAGGGCCGTGATTGGTATCCCGCAAAATTTGAAGAAAAGGCCGTTCTCTCCCACCTTCTTGCACTGATAACTGAAAGGGTCCAGGACTCCTCCGTATGCACCGTAATATTTTCAACTTCACTCTGTCGGCCGTGTATTTGACAGAAGATCAGGGCAAACCCTTAAACCCCTAAACCCCTAAATCGGCCCGGGAGTGAACCGCTTCCCAGAGTCATCCCGCTGCTCTTCCGAACCGGCCGCGAGGAGCAGGCTGGAGCCCTGACAACTGCGGAGTGTAGGACCAAACCCGAAAAAAGCAACACTAAAAACAAAGGGGGCCTGAATATATAGGGGCCTTAATAATTCGACTAGGGCTTTGGGGGTATATTATATCCTATATAAACTTTAATAAGGAACCCCCCAAAACAGTATTGGTAATAATTTAGATCCCTATTTTAAGGTTTAGGGATGAAGGACTTGAGGAATACTTAAGGATTTAAGGATGCAAGCCTAAGGCTCCAAGTATGCACGCAGATACCTCCTTTGGGCTACAAGCCAACCCGACCACGGTGCCAGCTGAGGAGCCTCATTGCGGAAAGAGGGATCAGGCTTCCGGGCTGTTGAAGCTTTACTTTAAGAACCCAAAACCTACTTTTTCGTAGGTTCTTATTATACACCCTAATTTGGGATTTATAGGGACCCTACAACAAAGTAGGGTTTAGGGTTCTTAAGGTAAGAGATTTACGTCGACTAGGACTTGGGGAATCGCGGGGAAGGGAAGGATTCAAGGGCCTTTTAGAGCCAAAGTCTCGAAGAAGTGATGGCAAGTAAACTCCAGGTCGCCGGGATTTCCTAAACATGAGCTCCTGGATTTAGGGTTTAGGGCCTGGACCCTACACCGCACCGTGAATGCCAAGACTTTGAAGGGCGTTTCGAGAACGCTCGAAATCCTGACACCCCACATCCCGAATCCCATGACTCGAACCCCAAACCCTACAGCCTGACCCCCCTAGGGCCTAGGGGTTTCGACTCACACACTCGCAAATGCAGGCATGGCACTAGGTGTCCGAGCTTTAGGGTTTAGGGCCTCGAAGGCCCCTAAACCCTAAACCCCTAAACCCTAAACCATCCCGGACCTTGTTCTTCACCTGGAAGCCAAAGGGGCGGGCAGCCTCATCCTGAGCGTTACACTTATGGCTTTTTGCCTTTATACCTATTCTTGTTTAGGGTTTAAGAGCTTGTTATTATCGTACATGGCATCATACTATACTAGCCTATTCGGGTTTCGGGTTTAAAGTTCAGGGCATCATACTATGCTATACTAGCCTCTACTATACAGAGTCATACGGTGCTGCACCATGCTGACCACACGCTCGGAAACGCACATAGTTCACCGTGGGCTTGGCATGATTTTCTAGGGCAATGTGACCATGACCCATAATTTAACTGCTCTGCTTGTATCGCACCTGCTGCACTGCTGCCTGCAAAGCCTACTGAAGGCCGCCTCAGATCTGTGTGTCAAAGTGTTTCGAGGTTAGATCAGTTGTACGGTGTTTCAGTACGTATAGCTCGGTGAAACATGTAGAATAGCGAAATTGAGTTACAGAAAAGAACGGCGCGTGGGGTGGACCAAAACATAACAGCATCCTTATCACAAAGATGCAAACAGGAGCTGGGGTTCAAGGTTTCGAACAACGGATTTTGGGCTTTGCGTATTTATGTCTGAACACGTTTCGGGTTGCAGGGTTATAGCTCAAGAAATTAAGGTTTCGTTTATGCGGTCGCACGTCTTGGGTTGGCGGATCGATAGTTTCCGAAAAAGAAAAGTGTCGGATGTAAATGCACTCTTCTTTGTCAGGACAAGCAGATCAAGGTTTGCCTGTAGAGGGTTTACTTGCACTTGTTCGGGTTGCATGGCTGCACAGCCGCCTGACACTGAATGCCGAGGATGAGGTTTTCGAGGTAATCTACCACAAGCACAAACAATTCCGAACAAAACCTGCACGCTCTACATATAAAGCAGTAGTACTTCTATCAACTAGTACGTTACTTAGAGCCCTGCAGAGTGTTTTGGCTCCCGCAAGTATTGTTATCATTTATATTAACATGATGCTGATGATGGTTCTTATTATGATTTTGCATATTTCTTTCATGGTTATTAGCAGTATAGTGGTAATAATCAGAGGAGGAGATGAGGAGGAAGCGGAGCAGGAGGAGCAATGTGCCAAGTGTCCTCCGAAAGCTCACCATAGGAGCTTCCCACTTCCACAGAAAAACTCGTCGGCGCCTTGTTGTCGGGCGCCCGATACATCCTTACACGTCGGGGCAGCTAGGGTCCCTCCCTTTTTAGGTTCCCAGAATAGTATGCCACCCTTGAACAGGACCCCCAAAGCGACCCTAGTTTAGAAAATTGCCCAAGACAGGGGTGGTTCACAGCTACAGTAAATGGAATAGGACCTACCTACTTGCGGCCGAACCGTCTTGAGGTGTTGTTCGTCGAGTCCCAAAGCTGGAGACAGTCAGGATTCATCACTTTGGCATTCCCTGCAGCTTGCATTTGGGACATGGGGAAATGAGAATCCAACCTTATGTTATGGTGCCGATTGCAAAATATTGAATGTTAAAATTTATTGGAATGGTGATGATGATGATTGTGGTGGTGATGATTGTGCTGATGACGATGCGAATGATTGTGCAATTGCAAGTGCTATCTAATTATTGGTTTTGGCGGTGATGACAATCTGTACGATTTTTTCGGCTTATTCATGGCTATTGCCGTGGTTTGCGTGGTGATGATACTTTGGTCCATTATTGTGCATGTTTATGGCTGTTTCCACTGTATAAGGTTCCAGATGAGTGGCAACTTGCTGCCATCCTGCTGGACTGTCGCTGGAGATGTGCTGACGCAGAGTGTGCCTCTGCCTGGGATTGCGCTATTGCGGCTTAGGGGTTTGAGGGTTCAGGAGGCTACACGACTTGTCCGCTTGCAGGCTGCTTGGAGTCTCAGGGCACTTGGGCTAGGAGCCATGAAAAACTAAAAACGTAAAGCAGCAATGGTTGAAAACTGAACGCTCCATGAGCGAAGCAACGCCCCACCAAAGTCGCTAGCGACAACACAGACAGCACAGATCCTGGAAGCACAATGCATCCGTTTTCCATGTTCCAGGTTTCCACGTTTCAGCTTTTTGGAATCCATCACATCTCCATTTTTTAATCAGAACCCTCTCAGGAACTCTAAAACCCTACAGCTTTTAAGAACCACTCGGCAACGGCTTCGCAAGTTGCCTGTCAGCCAACAGCGCCGCAATCTCCAGTGTTCCGCACCTCAGAGGTACTGGGCCGTTCTTGAAAGCCCTTCGCACCATTGCCATTTCGGTTCCTTCTGAAGACCATCTACTCTACCACGTGGTTTAGTTCCCTCTGTCGGCTCCATGCCTTGCTAAGCAAAAACAGGCTTATTTGTGAGTTTCAGGTTCAAAGATCTTCCCACCGGATCAAGGTTTGGGGCTCGGGGTTAGGTTACACTGAGCCCTACATCCAAAAAAAGCCGAAGCCTAAACTGAACCTGGAAAGCTTAGTATAGGGTTTAGGGTTTAGGGTTTAGGGTTTAGGGTTTAGGGTTTAGGGTTTAGGGTTACTTAGTGCTCAGATGTGGGGCAGGGCTTGGCGGCCCCACTGCGCCTCTGGCGCTCAGCTCCTTTCGCCCAAGCTGGCCGTCTCTTGGGGCGCAGGTCGCGGTTTCATGCTGGGGTTCGGGGTTTAGGGTTTAGGGTTTAGGGTTTTGGGTTTAGGGTTTAGGGTTTCGGGTTTAAGATCCTCTCACAACGAGGATCCAAGTCTCCAAAATGCAAAAGCCTGCATTGCTTCTCTCCCAAACCCAAAGCCCCAAAGTCTCCGGGGTACTTAAAGGATCATGGGACTTAGTAAGTAGGGTTATAACAACGGGTAACTATACTTATAACCCCAATTAAGGGACTTATAACCTTAATTACTAAGTCCCATGATCCTCCAAGCACCTTTTTACCCGTAGCCTCAAAGTAAGCCGAAGCTTCCGCCTCGCCCAGCCCAGCTCAAGATGCTCGGCGCTCCCGGAAAAGCCAGGCGAGGAACACCCCCAAAAAGCCAATACCCCCTTAATTAAGGAATATACCTTAAATCATAATATATTAAGACCCCTGTAATTTAAGGTATATTCCTTAATTAAGGAATATACCTTAAAATACAGGGGTCTTAATATTATGATTTAAGGTTGGGTTCTCTGGGTTTTCGCCATTGCTTAAAACCTTCGCTGGCTGTCGAGGCTCATGCTTGGAAGTCAGCGGACAGATGGGGAAACACAACAGTGTCTACAGTGGCTATGTATAAGTATGTGGTATTTTTTGGTCATGAATGTCCATGCTCTCCGGCATAAGTCTCCAGTAGATCGGTCTGGTACGCTAAATTATGTAAAAAAATCCCAAACCACACTGAAACTCTCAGCCCGAGCCCTCTACTATCTCAAACCCCCTCAAGCCCGAAACCGTGAAACCAAAAACGGTAACGCGAGCCCTAAGTCTCGAACCCCAAACCCACTTTTTTGTAGGTTCTTTTTACAATCCCGAAAATGGGATTTATAGGGACCCTACAAAAAAGTAGGTTTTAGGTTCTTAGGGTAAGTCTCGAACCCTCGACACCTCGTCCTTCCCGACGTGCAAGGCCGCCTGTTGTTTTGCCCCCCGAGGTCCCCGCACTGGGGATCTCCACCCGGGAGCAGTACCCACCTGTCTGCATCGGTGGATTTGGGGTTTAGCCCAGCTGCGGTATCAAAGCGGAAAAGCTTGACCGGGGCCGATAAAATGGAGACGGTCTGGAGTTCACACGTCTCGAGTTTGAGGCTTGAGGCTTCCACTTCTCTCAGGTTTTTTTCCAAGGGTTTCATGGCCTCTGCTGCATCTTCCTCGCAAGTGCCGAATTCCCATCTCCCAGGTACAGGTACTACTACAGGATGACGTGCTGCCCAAGCAAGTCGCAGGGGGCAGAAGGCACCCAAATGGCGGGTCAAAGCCCTCCCTCGGGCTGATCCACATCGCCGACCCCGAAAGCTTCCAAACAATCCTACCTCCCCAAACCCCAAGAAGCAGGGTTTAGGGTTTAGGGTTTAGGGTTTAGGGGTCTCAATTTCAGGGTTTCTTTTCTGAGGACCTCTACAAAACAAAACGCACGGTGGCAGTGTTCTATATTACGTCCCCGGCATCGGCTTGGGACTCCGGAAGCCAAGATGCAATGCGCCGCTGCCCAGCTGGCCGCTCTCCGGCGGAGGTGGGGCAGGACGGTTTGACCTAGGAGCTTGCTTTGAGAAAAGCTCGGACTAGAGGATTTTTGGGTTCGAAGTCTGGGAACAATGAATGCGGGAGGCTTGTCAACATCAGGACAGTCATGGGGCCTAACACTACGGATCCTGCGCGAACTAATTAGGCCGCGTTTTATGCCTTCCTTTCATTTTTGAAGCACCCGACCCTTCTTTTGTGGGGTGTAAGGTGAAACGTCAAGGCACGACTGGTCGGATGAAGGTTCTGATTATCATAGCTTTTTTGATGAAAGCCAAAGCAGCCCTCCTTCAGCCACAGCCAATCCCCGACGCTGAATCCACAGCCGTTCTGAGGTCATGAAATTTCTTTTCCCTGGGGAACCGTGTATAATTTGGGGCTGAAGGTTTAGGGTTGGGGGCTTAATAATTACAGCTCTTTAAGGCCCCAAAGCCTTACAATTCCACCCTAAATCCCAAACCTAAACCCCGTAGCGCATCATCACAGACTGTCAGGGAGAGAGCAAGCGGCGTAGCACCAAGGGGCTTGTGACTAAGGGTGGAAAAATGGCTTCACGTGGAGGCCTTAAGACTTAGAACAAAGCTTATACGTTAGGAACTACAGGACAAGTACAATAAGTAACCCTGAAGAATTCGTTTTGAAACAAACTTTAGGGTTGCTTATTATACTTGCCCTCCAGTTTCTATGATACAACTCTCCAAGAAACCCCAAACAGTAGTATCACCAAGTCTTCCGGCTTCTCTGTTAGGTCGTCTCTTCTACCTCAACCTGGTCCCTGGCGCGACATGGTTCGTCATGAACTCGTAAGGGTCATCCGGTAACAGCGCGCAGACCACGCTCAACATCTCCTGCAGGGTAAACGAACATGGCTGCATGCCTACGATACGGTTCTCCCCAAAAGATATGGTTTAGGGCTAGAATTTGGGGTTTAGGTTTAGGGTGTGGAGATTTCAAAAACACCCGCGGTCCCAGTTTGGGGTTTGAGTATGAGAGTTCCGATCAGTGGTTTGAAACTCGCATGCTGATCCCTCGTTCAGCCGCTATATATTCCCCTACTTTCTTCTGAAAGCCTCCCTTTTAGGGGCCGGACCCCCAAATGTCCAAGAGACTAAGCTGCAACAGCTCCTCCTCACCGCAAATACCCTGAATTCGCACCCCGTTTGAGACAAGGCGCAGCAAAGAGCACTGCTCAATCCAATTTCTGAAGGGATCGGAGGGGTAGGGTGTGTCGGTTTTGAGGGTAATGACTATACTGGGGATCGTTCGGAACCCGAATCAGGGATTTCTTGAGACTTAGAACAATCATAGGTGTGAGGTATGCCAATGACAATACTGGAGTGAGCTTTCTTTTGGTGGCTGACCGGTCCATGAGTTTCGAAACTTCGACGAAGCATGAGCAACTGCTCTGGTTGTTTTGCTCAACTGGTCCAGGCTCTTTTGCAAAAGACCCAAGCCGTCTCCTGCATGAACAGCTCTATTTGGTGATTGTCCTTGCAGGACATGCCCGGAGGAGGTTTCACGGCTCGGGGTGCGAGATCTTAATATAGCAGCCTCAATAACTAGAACAGGGTTTTGGGGCCCATTATACTATAGTCATAACCCTAAACCCTAAACCCTAAACCCTAAACCCTAAACAACCAAAATAGTATTGGTAATCATTTAGGCCATTAATCTTGCAGTATGAATGCCGAATTCCCAGTCTCCTCAAGGGGTCCAAAGCCTGGAGGCCTTGGGGTCCCCAAAGTCGGTTTAGGGTTTAGGGTTTAGGGTTTAGGGTTTAGGGCTGAGCTCTAAACCCTATTCGGGCTTTCGCCTCGGCGAAGGCTGCGTGCGGAAACGACCCTCAAACTGGAAACCCAAAACCATGCGGCAGTAAAGACCTTAGATCCCAGGCAGTCCGTAACCTCACACCATAAATCTACATATATATATATATATAAATAGATAGAGATAGATACACATATACAGATACTTAAACCGCGCACCATAAAGTAAAGCCCTATAAACCCAACTTTGCAGCCCGAAATGCTGCAGGAAACTCCAAAGTTCGAGGTTCCGGCAGATGAGAGTGAACTTTGAATCCCAACATCTCGTCCAGGACACAGGGACATTAATCACGAATTAGAACAAGGTTTTGGGGTAATGCTATATAGTATAGCAGGATTGTTTTTTGTTTAATGCTAAGCCCTCAGATACCTCGTAGAATTCTATTGCCAAGTCTCAAGGCTTCGGTATTGGCTGAAAAGGGGGATAAGTGCAGCTTTGGCCTTTGGCTCCAGCATAAGGTCGAGGGTTCTGGGTTCAAGGACTTCCAACTTTTTTGTCTCAGCCGCTCCCCCTTCGAGATTCCGGCAGAAATCCATGCCCCCACGGAACCCTCGAGCCCTGTGCCCCTAACCCTACCCTACACCCAACAGCCGACAGCCGGCATCGGAAATCCTAGATCGTATACGCCAAACCCTCATCCCGAAAGCTTGCATAGCCCCAGAACGGTTCCCTGCCTGATAGCCCTGCAACGTCTGCGCTGCGCTTCGAGGCCTTCAATGCAACCAAAGAAGCAGTCTCAAGCAGTATCTTTCGCGGATCAGAAACTACGTTTAAAGGCTTTATTAGGGCACCGGGCTAACGGGGTGCAAAGGGCCCTCGCAATGATCCGTGCATAGGTACCCCTTGCCACATCACTCATGAAAAGATGCTGTCATGTCAAAAACCCCAGTTTGACTACTTGCTTGCAGAACACTCGGGAGGGACATGATCTAAGGGCTTTAGGAGGGACCCTTAATAGGGACCCTTGTAGGTTATTGGGTTTATATGAAGACTACCTGGCTATATAAGGGGTATATAAGGACTATACAATGGTTATTTAAGGTAATGGGATTAAGGGTCCCTATTGGGGGTCCCTCCTAACGTCCTCAGACATGAAGAGTCGCTATCGGCGCCAGAAACTGGGGCCGACTTGCATCTAAGATTCGCAGGGACTCAGGCGAAGCTCTACGTTTTTCGGTGTCTTCAATATACCCAGAGGCCCCATAGTAGTTCCTTTTTGGGATTACCTTATAGGATTCTAAATATGAGTCCCCAAAAGGAACGACTATGGGGCCTATGGGTATGCATCCTTTCAGATCTTGCCATGGCAACAACTTGGAAGACAACATCCTGGGAGGTTATCTCCCTCTGTGACGGCGTCGCGAACCTGATATGGGAGTTTCCGAAAATAAGGGGTACCTTATTTTGGGGTCCCTATAATAAGGGTCCTACTATTTAGGGTACTATATTAGGGTCCCCTATTTTCGGAAACCCCCATATGTCAAACATCATTGCGGCCTGTTGGGCCTAGGATAGCAGTGACGATAACGAAACCGAAACGAGATGGAGATTCACAAAAAACCATGCAAATGGTAGTAAACCTTGAACCCTAAACAATCATGACAAGGAGAACCAGAGCTCAAAGGAACCCAACAGCCACACAGGCCCACGCGTCAGCTTGTCTGACATGTCGTTGCGTTCACCTCAGGGGGCGCTTGCGGCCAAGGGCAGCCGGCGGGCTTTAGGGTTTAAGTTTAAGGTTCCTTGGTTCATGAACTTGAGGCTTTTGCGATCTACAAAAACTTATGGGACCGACAAGGGTTGTCAAGGGTGTCCGTGAGGTTGAGAACTGTAGCCAGAGCTGGGTTTGGTAGGATACAATGTTTACGGGCTTCGGGGGGTGTACGGCAATGTAGACCATTGCGTAACACCCCCCCTCTCTAAGCAACTTAAGATGATAGGATTCCCTAAACCCTAAACCCTAAACCCTAAACCCTAAACCGTGGTTCAGGGTCTACACTATGGGTCATCGCAGGCTTTCGGGGCATCGGCCCCCAAAAGTACCGGTATCCGGGACCCCTACACAGAACAAGAGCCTGCACGGCCAACCCCGAGCCCTTCTACGTCGAGTTTGCAAGAGTAGGGTATTCTTGTCTAGTAGTAGGGTTTAGGGTTTAGGGTTCTAGTATGGTTTAGGGTTTAGGGTTTAGGAGATCTACGTAGCGGCTATAAATCCCGGCTCGTGCGCTGCAGACGAGGTGCGAAGATCCAAAGCCATCGCTGCGAGCGGCTCGGCACTCAAGCGGCAAAGGCTCAGACCTCTGCCCCGTCCCGGGCCCGTCAGTAAGTTCGCTAACGTCGGGGCCTTAATGAAATTAGAATAGGGTCTTGGGGTATATTATACTATAAGCATCATAAGGAACCCCTAAATAGTATCGGTATTTATTAAGGCCCCTATGTTAGTTCAGCGAAGGGAGGGTTCTCTGCATGGGGAGGCTTTTGGGTGCGGATCCAAAGAACCGCCGGATACCATGAGGAGCTCAGAGTCAGGGCTCTTAGGGTTCAGAGTTTTGCAGGGCCGAGCTACGGCTCGCGGCTTCGGAGCTTTACGGTAATTACTAGGGCAGATGCGAAATGAAGGCTTCCGCATTCTGGCGTCGTGCGTCGCAGAGGCTTCAATCTACAGCTTCGGGCTTAACTTGTTTGGCTAGGTTTCACAGTATCTGCGTAATGAAAACTAGAGACCGAACCCTTGTTCCTATGCTCTGCCGAATTCTTGACTGTACCTCATCTGTTTGTTGAGTCTGGCTTAGGTAGCAGAGCAAAAGGGCGTGTATAGAGTGTAGGTCTTACAATTAAGGTTTACAGTTGATCCCTTAAGGGTTTAGGCGTCGGGGCGTGCGGCGTTGGGGTTTCAGAAGCCCCTTTCAGCTTTTCCCGCGGCGGGGATAGATTTGCAACGGGTCGGATGTCGGGTTCGTGTGCACTGTGGGGCTGTAGACCCTGATACTTTCAGCCTCGGCCACCGGACCAGGTGATAAAGCCCAAAGCACTGTGAGATTTTTTGACTTGGTACACTTCTCGATTTGTGCGTGTCATCCTTGCGCAGGCCATGCAAATCTTCTCTGTATCGTTTTTCAATTTTAACGGAGGATTCCCTTCGGACTGTACGATTTATGGTGACTAGTACCGCCGAATTGAAAACACGTCCACCCATCCCTCCATGGATCCCATGCATTCATGCACAATCTGTAGGCATTGTCGCTATGTGATTTGTACGCAGTACTTAGCCAAGAGTTAGTGGTTCTCTCAGTCTGCAGGGGCCGAGTCTTAGGGTGTTCGCCGGGTTACCGGCACTAAACCCTAAGCCCCGAAACTCTCCTAGCCTGAACATCTGTGAACACTGAAACCCTAGGCCCCAAAACCTAGAGACTTTGGGACAATGAAGCGTCCAGCGAGTCCCTCGTGAAATATCATCTGAGCCCACGGCTCTACGACGGGTGACACGCGACCGTTCGATGCTTCAGGGTTTTGCTTAGGAATAGAGCCGTACCAATACCAAGACCCTGAATGCTGAAGCTTCGGGTCCCGAAAAACGTAGATACCTGCGACGTCTGTCGGAATCGGGTGGGCTTGTGACATGAAATGGGCTTTCTCAGCGCTCTTCTTACATAACACTACTCCTGGGGTTGAAACTCAAGAAGCTGAAATGCGATACAACAAACACTTGAGATACGATCTTATGCTTACATGAAACAAACACATCCCCAAGCGCTTGAGCCAGGACCCGTCCGATCATCCAGAGAATTTCCTCAAGCCGGGTTGATAACAGCATCAGGGCGGCCTCAATAGTTAGACCTCAGCTAAGGTAAGGGCCTTCATTATTTCAACAGGGCTTTGGGAGTATATCATACTATCATTATAATGAGGAGCCCCCACAAACCTACTCTAATCATTAAGGCCCCTATATAACTCTTTCTGCAAGCACGGCTTCCAGACGGACAGCTTTGTAGCTGAGGCCTCCGCATCTCCAATTTTG